GCTTCGTTTTTGAAGAAAGTACTCTTCGTATAAAACGGCTCGCATCAAGCCTTCACTAACAACGTCGTATTACATCTCGTCCTTTTTTTGTCACAGAGTTTCCACCGGTAATGCCACGAAGGCATTTGCTTCCCTGCGTCCAGGTGAAAAGACAAAAGCAGCGCGAATTAGCTTTCTTTCGTCCTCTCGTTCTATCGTTGTGTTTCTTTCCTCCCTCCTATCTGTCTCTCTGTCTCTCTGTCTCTGTCCCTGTCTCTCTCTCTCTCTCTCTCTCTCTCTCTCTCTCTCTCTCTCTCTCTCTCTCTCTCTCTCTCTCTCTCTCCCGGCGGTGCGGCGCGTACAAGGTGTCGCGCAATTACGCCGCGCCAGCTGGGCGGCCTTGCCTCGGCGCTCATTCCGCAACCACCCGGGAGAAAGGATTCTTAATAGTGGCGTGCTTGACGGCGACGCCACGCCACGCCCCGCCACGCCCCGCCAGCCCCGCCACGCCACGCCACGCCCCGCCCCGCCACGGCGACAGCGGCATCCGGAACCACAACTCGCCGCTTAGCGTTTTGACGACCTTGTTTAACTTTAATGACACGGGCCGAGGCCCTTTTCTTGGCGCTGCGGCCGTCGGATGCCACCTCGACAACCCCTTCCCCTCCCCCCCAGTAAACCCGCCGCTCCCCCTCCCGCTTCTTCCTTTCCCTCGTTCCCCCTCCCCCTCTCCCCCTCTCCTTCCCTTTGCCCCCTCCCCTCCCCTCCTCTCCCCCTCCCCCTCCCCCCCCTCCCGCTCTTCGTTGCCCCAACGGCCGGAACGCCGCCCCGCTGCCGCCGCGATACACTGGCTGAAAACCTTCACTAATTCCGGCTGTTCGTTGGCAACTATTCCGCTGGAAAGGCTCCCGGAGCGATTAGCCTCCCCCTGCCCCGCCGAATCGGAAGACCCGAGCTAATTTTGAAGAGTGGCATGGGCCCGATTTCGGTAAGCATGCGGGTACACGCTAAAATCCATGCCATCGCTTTTGCTTTTGTGCGTGTATTACGATGTTATGGCGTCGTAACGCTGTCAAACCAAAGTGTGGAGAACTTCACATTTCCTGGCGCGGAGTATTTCTCCACTTTCCACGCTTCAAGTGTGGAAAGTAGCTCACAGAGCCCCTTTTTCTCGATACTTGAATTGTGGAGACCGCAAACTCTCTGCACTTTCAACCACACCACCGCATTTCAAGTGTTAAGTTGTCCACACATGGTTTCACAGAGAAGCGACGGCATATCCTATCGAACTGGTTCAACTTGGTCAATTATGTTTTCATTTCAGCGCGTGACAATTATCCTCTGGTTGTAAGAATCTTAGAGTGTCGCTGCAAAGTCTTGTCGGTGGCGTCACCCGAAGAAGGCGATTACTTTCCGGCCGGAGTGCCCGCCATGCCGTCATTAGAGAAAGAGGCTTGTCCTGCAGGCTGATTCCGAGAGCCGGGGCAATGTCTCTCTCGCACTCGCACCTATGCGGGACGCCCCATGAGTGCGAGAGAGACAGACTCAGTCTGCTGTTCTGCACCGGCTCGCGAAAAATGGCGGCCTCTGGGCATTAAGCAGAAGCAGGCCCCTTAACCGCGGGGGCGTAGCGCCGCCGCTGTTAAACCGAAACATTCCAGGCATAACCAGAAGAAGGGGCTGGGAAAAGCCGCTCGGAACGCCGGCAACACTTTTTATTAATATATCGGGGAGTGCTGCGGTGCCTAATTAGCTCGGCTGGCCAAGGCCTTCCTCCCTGTCGGAATGGAGCAGAGATACTGTTCCGGCCAACAACGCCACGCGCACAGCAGGTGGTGTGGTAACGCGTGCCGAGGGGAGGCGTGCACGGTAAAATCGGAACCTGGTTTTCCCAGGAACTGCCTGGAAATCACCTATGTCTCTACCATAGGCTTTGGGAAAACCAGGTACCGTTTTTACCGTGTGAGGGTCACAGATTGCGCGCATACTACTGGAAGCACGTCCGCGCGACACAATTTTCAGCCAATACGCAGCGTGGCGGCACCAGCGCCGCGAAACCAGCGTTGCCTCTGAACACTCTGGAAACCTGGCTGACGTGTGGAGCTCTCCGCTTTTGGTTCCCTAAGAGGAAGATGCGTGCGTTGACGGGCTTCTCGCCCGGCTTCCTCTCCTGGCGGCCCTGGCCGCGTCGGCTTCCGTAATGGAGATTCAGTCGGGTCGGAGGCGAAGGGGGAAGAGGAGGGGGCGTTGTTGGCCCGGCGCGGCGTCCTCCCTGCCGGGCCGGCCCTCTGCGCGCTCTGCGCCGCTCTGCGCCGCCGGACGGCTGGGTCCGTTGTTAAGTTAGGGATCGGCCAGCGACGTTGCTGACGCAGCGCACTGCTGCCCAGGCGCGGCAGGGCCGTGGCAGGGCCGTGGCAGGACGGTGGCGGGACCCAGCCTGGGCCGGCGCCAGCTTCGAGGCTCTGTAATCCTGTTCCTGAATGGCGCAGCGCGGCACGCTAGGCCAGGCCAGGCCAGGCCAGCAGACTGATTCCGAGAGCCGTTTTCGTCGCTCCGTCTCTCTCGCACTCAAGGGCGGCCCGCCATGGGTCCGAGAGAGACGGAGCGACGAAAACGACCCTCGGAATCAGGCTGCAGGCAACGCGTCACGGGCGGCTGGCTTGTTTACAGACCCAGCAGAAACTTCCATTTCCTCTTCCGCGTTCCGGTGCGAACCAATGGGGGCGGGGCGGGGCGGGGCAGGGCGGGGCGGGCAGGGCGGGGCGGGGCGGGGCGGGCGGGGTGGGGTGGGGCGGGTTCTTGGGGCGAGGCGGGTCGGGTGGGCCGGAAGAGGCGCTATTATAGGACCGATAGTTGTTCCTCCGAGGGGGTAACGACTTCGGGAATCCGGCTGACAGCAAAGTGGTAATCCGTAATCCGGATAACCCGAAATTTCGAGGTATTCCGGATAACCCGAAATTTTGAGGTAATCCAGGGTAATCCGGGGAAATTTGAGGTAATCCGGGGTAATCCAGGAATTTTTTTGTTGTAATCCGGAGGTAATTTGGGGGTAATCCGGGGTAATCCGGGGTAATCCGTAATCCGGCTGACACGAAATTTACCAGTCGTTACCCCCTCGTGTTCCTCTCACAATCAGACTTTGTTTTCCAACCCCGGCCCTGTAAACTTGTACGCCAGTATGGAGAAAGAGAGACGGACGGAGAGAAGTCATCCACTGTCAAAGCAACTTTGCAGAACTCCACACTTTCTGGTGCGAAGGAATTCTCCTCACCTAGGCGCGTGGCGTTTGCAGTCTTAAAGGTTGGAGCCTGAGCCCCCGTCTCTCGGCATGGCGCAAACGTGGAGAACTCCTCACTTGAAGTGTCGAGACTGCAAGCTCTGCACTCCCAAGTGCAGAGGCTGCAGATTCCTCAGCTCCGCATTTCGAGTGCGATGTTTTCCCCACTCGGGTTCCCCGTGACGGGAGAAGACCGTCGGAAGCCCTCCCGCAATCAGCCCCCCCGTCACCTGGCTCGGCCCGGCCCGGCTCCGCCTGGGTCGCTCGGGACAGCGAGACAGCGTGGCTCAGAGAGGCGCCGGTTCACCTGTCGAGGTGTTGGGCGAGTGTTTTGCATATTCACCAGCAACAGCGCTGTGCGTCAGCTATACACGCCTCTTTTACGGGACCGTGCTACACAAATTTATGCAATTCTTTTTTTCATGAAATTAAGAGAGGAATGGGGCTGAAACTGTTGCATGTTTATTTGTCTTCGCAACTGCTAAAAATTTAAGTTCTGAAATGTTTTGTCCTGGACTGTGTTGATACTTTGAAAAGTTTGAAAACCTTTTTTGGGTCCAGTTTTAAAGTTTTGCTGTTTCTTCTTTTGGCCGTGCTCTCCTCTTTTAGGCAGCCAAATCTTGTCATGAGTATGCAGGCCAGGGCGTGCCGCCCTTCGCCATCAAGAGGGTCGTTGGGCGTAGGTACGGCACAGCTGGCTGGACTCTGCTTGGTAACTCTGTCTCTCCCGCACCCTTACGGTCCGCCCCGTGAGTGTGAGAGAGACACAGCGACGAAGACACGGTTCGGGAACAGCCTGCTGCCCAGGCCCGGCCCAGGCCCGGTGTGGTGCCGGCCACTACGGCTTGCTGCGCTTCGCTGCGTGGCTCCCTGTCACCTGTCACGGCCTCACCCAACTTGTCCGAGCTTTGGCGACGGTTGCTGACGCCCTGATTTGTGTTGTTGCAGGTTGCAGACGGCCTGAGGGCGCCCGGCCCGCAGGCCCTGGGGGCCAGGCTGGCCTCCATGGCGACGACCAGTGTACCTAACGACTACCGGCCCCCGGGGGCCACGGCCATGGCGGTTGGGCCGGCTGGGCCGGCGGGGCTCCCTGGCTCGCAGCGGCGGGGGCCAGCCGCCTGACCACCATGTCCTTGAACCGGCGGGCGCGCGCGGCCAAGGGGGGCGATGGCGTCGCCCCCCCACAGACCAGCCAGAACTCCCCGCTCTGGAGCGCCACCACCTCGCCCAGACGCATGCCGGGGGGCGCGCCCTACACGCCCCTCAACAACATGGCCTCGGCGCCGCTCTCCGTTCAGCTGCCGCCGTGCCCCATGTCCGGCCCCATGTCCGCCCCCATGTCGTGCCCGATGTCCGGTACGATGCCCGGTCCGATGTCCGGTCTCCTGTCCGGTCCGATGTCCGGTCCGCACCCCGGTGCGCATGCCGGCGTGATGCCCGGTCTGCATCCCGGCCCGATGTCCGGTCCGATGTCCGGTCCGATGTCCGGTTCGATGTCTGGTCACATGTCCGGTTCGATGTCCGGTCACATATCCGGTCCGATGTCCGGTTCGATGTCCGGTCACATATCCGGTCCGATGTCCGGCCCGATGTCCGGCCACATGTCCGGCTCGCTGTCCGGCGCGCTGGGCGCCAGCATGCACGCGCTGCCCACGCAGCAGGACACGGTGATCGGGCCGGGCCGCACCGGCTGCCGCCACAACCACGTGTCCCACCTGGGCGGCGGCCAGGGCGGCGGCGTGCGGGAACCGCCGCGGAGCGCGTTCGGCGCCTCCATGCAGGACATCGACATGGAGCTGCAGCAGCACATCCAGCAGTGCAACTGCACCTGCGACCACATGGGCTACGGCAACTACATGGACTACCAGGTAAGCCATCTCACCACTTTTCGATGATCTTGATGATGGTATACTGATGATGATTGACTGGTGATGTTTGACTGATGATATTTGACTGATGATGCTTGACTGATGATGTTAGATTGATGATGTTTGAATGACGATGATTGAATGATGATAATTGAATGACGATGATTGAATGATGATGATTGAATGACGATGATTGAAAATGGTGATGGTTGACGTCGTTGATGATGACGACGACGTCGTGGTGGAAGACGACTTTACCCGAATCGCGCATTCCGATTGAACTCGCATGCCGAAACCAAACGGTGTGGGCAATGGCCTTCCCCGCGGTGCGCCGTCGCTGGACCGCGGACGCCGCGTGCCGAACCACTCGGCCCACTTTCCATGGCCGTTCGCACTCGCCCTCAAGAGCGTCGTTAGCTCGGCCGGTGCGCTCATCGAGTCCAGCGGTAGCCGTTTGATTCCGAACAGGCGTGTCGGTCTCTCTCGCACTCGGGGGGCGTGCCGCGTGGGTGCGAGCGAGACAGACAGCATGAGGCGGGCGATGTGGCGGCTCGTTGGGGGCCGGGCCCACTGCCGGGCCCACTGCCGGGCCCACTGCCGGGCCCACGGCCGGGCTTAGCACAAGAACACTCTCCAATTTGGCCTGGCGGGCCTGGCGGCGAGGCTGCCAGCCATTGCGTTGCTGCCGATATGGCCCTGGGGACTTTAGCGCCTGCCTGGCAGTGCCTGCGCCGCGGTGCCGCCTTTGTTGCACAGCCTGCCTGCCAGCCCCGCCTGCCCCGCCAGGCCGCACTGTGGCCGCACAGGCCAGCCAGGGCAGCAGAGCATTGTGTCTTTGTTCTTGGCCGTGGCAGTCGGCGCGACCTGCCCTGCCGCCCCCGCCGTCGCCCTCCAGGACACGTCCAGGACGCGTCCAAGGCATTGCCACTTCTTGCACCATCAATCTCGCACTGCCGCGACTCCATTGCCTCGCCGTCACACTAACGGATAGAAAAAAAAAGAAAATACAAATAACTGAGCCGATTCGTCGAACGTCTATCGGACATCTAGTCCCGTTTGGCCTTATCACCATTAATTTGCGACGCCGACCGATGCCGTGGCCGTGCCACCGATCTGACGGATGGGCGGCGCGTCGTCGTCACTGCACCGCCAAACTTTCCGTCCACTGTAAGCGCCGCCGCGCCCCAGTACGCGTGAAATGCCTAATGGCGCAGTAGCTTGCTTAATTACCACACCGCCCACACGGCCTCTCTCTCTCTCTCTCTCTCTCTCTCTCTCTCTCTCTCTCTCTCTCTCTCTCTCTAGCTAGCTAGGCTAGCTAGCTCTTGTGAGCTCACACACACACACACACACAAATCCGCTCGATTCCGGGAGCGAACCCGCATGAAATGAATCAGGCCGCCCAGCCTCCGCACATTAGACTAAGCTTTGCTGACCGCCCCCTCCCCCTCCCTCCCCCAGCTTATCCGTGCCCCTGAGCTGTCTGCCCCAATCCTTGCTCCGCGCCGCGCCAGTTCAAATACCGTCTGCTTCTTCGCCGTGCTCCGCCGTCTACAAATTTATTCGCAATCATGGCGCGCGTGATGCGCCGCCGCTCCGCATGCAAAGTACACGTCGCGTAAGGCAAAGAAATTGGAACGGGGCGGGGCGGGGCGGGGCGGGGCGCGCGTGGAGAGGAAGGCTCGGGGTGTGCTCGGGGGGTGGGGCGGGGTGAGCCCCGCGGCGCGGTATTAACAAGCAAAACACGCCACGGTATTCTGTGATATTAATTAACCGGCCGGGCAGAGCGAGCCGCTGAATTAGTGACAAGTAAACGCGTGAGCCGAGGCAGGCCAGGCAGCCCGGGCAAGCCCGCCTCGCACTGGTCACGAGCAGAGCACCTTCGCAATGGCCTCTGTGCGCTCACCAACCACACTGGAAAAAGAAAAAAAGGACTAGAATGAGAGGGGAACAACTCCAAGGCACCAACATGTAATCAAATTACAAAAAGAATATTGTTATGAAAAGTTACAAAATAATTTTAATAATCAAAGGAGAACAGTAAAGTGAACACCCTTTTCTTCAAACTCTTGACAAGAAACGAAAATAATCCTAAAAAAGGTTGCACAAAAAAAATCAACAAGTTTTTTTCGTCCCTTCGCATTTGAAGGCTAGGGATTTTGAAGCAGATGCCATTACTACCCCACCCCCACCAAAAGATTGCACTCCGAACGAGGAATTCATTATTGGTGGTGGTGGGGAAGATGGTGGTGGTGGTGGGGGGGGGGGGGGTGTTTTCACACGTTCGGTTCGAGTCCTGTTTAGCGACTGTGTAGCTCGAAACGCGTCTGGGGTTGTGGCCGTCCACCGGGCCACTGGCCCACTGTGCGGTGAGCGGCCGGCGGCGTGTCCTGCGTCCTGCAGCGCCCGCTTGCTTGGCACGGCCTCCCGTATACACCGTTTTGCTCGGCGTGACGGGGCGAGATAGCGCCAAGATGGATGGTGTACTAGGCAACCCTGGCGAGGTCGGTGCACTGCTGTCCGCCGGGTGGCCTATCTTCGCTTCCGCAGGCGCTCTCCAGGCCGGCCTCGCTGCCCGAGTCGCCGCCTCGCTGCCGCGGTGCGCTGGGGTCTGCAGTTTTGTCCCTTTGAGCGCGCCTCGCACCGAGCAGCGTCCAAATGAACAGATTGCAGGAGCCTTTCAGGCCACTGCCAGCACACCTCACCGCACTCGTTGTTGCTCCCGTCAGGGCGTACACCTCGCCCTGCTTGTTGTTGTTGCTCCCGTCAGGGCGTACACCTCGCCGTGCTTGTTGTTGTTGCTGCGGGCAGGGCGTACACCTCGCCCTGCTTGTTGTTGTTGCTGCGGGCAGGGCGTACACCTCGCCCTGCTTGTTGTTGTTGCTGCGGGCAGGGCGTACACCTCGCCCTGCTTGTTGTTGTTGCTGCGGGCAGGGCGTACACCTCGCCGTGCTTGTTGTTGTTGCTGCGGGCAGGGCGTACACCTCGCCGTGCTTGTTGTTGTTGCTGCGGTGGGGGATGGGCACCACCGCCTGTCTGTTGTTGCTGCGGCATTGTGATCCGCTTTATTATAAGTAATGTGCGGCAGGAAAGAAAGGCGCCGCGGCCTACGCTGCGGGGGGCGGCCTCCTTCAGGGAGATGAGCGCGCTCGGCGCGGCACGGCGCGGCACGGCACGGCCCGCGGCCTTCTCGTGGGCCCCGTTCCGGCCGTTCCGGCCGTTCCGCTGCGATCGCTCAGGCCGGAGACACCGCCTTTATTAACATTCCCCCGCGGCAAGGCGGCCAAGTTGTTATCAGCTGTTTCAGTCCCACGCGGCGGGAGATGAGACGTCTAGTGGCGGCACTGGGGGAGGAAAGGGGGGGGGGTCGATTCCGCTGCCCGCGGATGATGGAAGTGGACCTTCATGTACGTCGAATCCGTTTGGAGGCGGTGCACAGAGGGCCAGAAGACCCGTGGAGGCGGCCAACACTATTGGCGCGTTTTGAGCCCCACAGGCGGTTAAGAGGACTCGAACGGAGCGTGTGACCCCACCAATGGATTCCTCGTCCGGAGAGCAATTCATTGGTGGGGTCACACGTTCGGTTGGAGTCCCACTAAGCAACTGAGGAGCACGAAACGCGTCCCGGGATTTCTACCGCCTCCACCTGTCTTCCGGCCCACGGCCCTTGTGCGTTGCCATTTTCAGGTCTGTTGTGTTGTCGCGGGGAAACGCGGCGCGTTTCAAAAATGTAGATCAAAAGACTAAAGGGGAAGTGCAACCTCGTCAACGGCAGACAAAAAAAAAGAAACAAGACAGGAAAATAAAAGCCAGCGAAAAGGGCTTCACTCTGATTTGATGCAGAACAAATAGAAACGGTACACAGTCCATCAAAGCACCGCGCGAATGGTGCGGAGCGGAGTGCACTAATGGAACAGGCAAAGGATCTGACACGCTGTGCAAAACACAGCAAAACTACCTGATGCTTTGCTAATCGCTTCGACACAGTTTGCTGGTCCGTCACAGTCGGGGTAAGTTGGGGGAGAGAAATACAGGGCAAGAAAGGTGGCAAACCTTCGGCAGGTTTTCAGGGAAACGTTCCAAAAAGCCGACGCGGCGGGAGACGCTCTTGAACCTCCAGGCCCTCCAGGCCCTCCAGGCCCTCCAGGCCCTACAGGCCCTCCAGGCCCTCCAGGCCCTACAGGCCCTCCAGGCCCTCCAGGCCCTCCAGGCCCTCCAGGCCCTACAGGCCCTCCAGGCCCTCCAGGCCCTCCAGGCCCTCCAGGCCCTCCAGGCCCTCCAGGCCCTCCAGGCCTTCCAGGCCCTCCAGGCCCTCCAGGCCCTCCAGGCCCTCCAGGCCCTCCAGGCCCTCCAGGCCCTCCAGGCCCTCCAGGCCCTCCAGGCCCTCCAGGCCCTCCAGGCCCTCCAGGCCCTCCAGGCCCTCCAGGCCCTCCAGGCCCTCCAGGCCCTCCAGGCCCTCCAGGCCCTCCAGGCCCTCCAGGCCCTCCAGGCCCTCCAGGCCCTCCAGGCCCTCCAGGCCCTCCAGGCCCTCCAGGCCCTCCAGGCCCTCCAGGCCCTCCAGGCCCTCCAGACCCTCCAGACCCTCCAGGCCCTCCAAGCTCTCCGTGTCGCTGCAGGCGGCCGGCCGGCCGCCCATTCCCGGTGCGTTTAGTCGGCCAGCCCGCCGCTTGGCCGGAGAGGAGCAGGTGGTGTGCGCGACCGCAGAATCCGGCTTTTGAAACTATTCACAACTTGTTATCCGGGATCATTAAAAACGCATTACCTGGCGGAGGCGGCCCACCGGGCAGCCCACCGGGCAGGACAGCTCGACCCACGAGGTCCAGGCCGTGCCGCTCCTGGCCGAGGCCGTGCCGCCATCCTGGCCGAGGCCGTGCCGCTATCCTGGCCGAGGCCGTGCCGCCATCCTGGCCGAGGCCGTGCCGCCATCCTGGCCGAGGCCGTGCCGCCATCCTGGCCGAGGCCGTGCCGCCATCCTGGCCGAGGCCGTGCCGCCATCCTGG